GGGGGGTGGAGATAGAATGTTACCCAATGCTCCTTCTGAAACCAAAACCACTGGCAGTATCCTGTGTGATGATGCAATGGCTTTAAGAGGTGTGTTTTGTCATGGTTCCTTTCAGATAGCAACTGGGGGACAGGTGATGAACAGTCTTTGAGAAGACAAACAACTTGTAAAGCCATGGGTGTTTTTTTCTAAATGCTGGAACAATAGAAGCAGCTTGAGTGGGTGTGGTCAAGCTCTCACAGATCCAGGATTTTAGTTTAGCTTCAGCAGTTGTTGCTAGGGTCTCAGCAGGGTTGGAAGGCAATGAATCTCTCCTGGCTGCTACACTCTTTCTCTGGGGAGCTGTTGCATGTATCTCTTTCATGCTGATCGGATTGCACGTGAGGCAATCTGTTTTCTGAATTTAAAAACTGAAAGAACTGCGGATGTTGTATATCAGGAGCAAAAACAAAGTCGCTGGAAAAGCTCAGCAGATCTGGCAGCATCTGTGAAGGAGAAAACAAAGTTAACATTTCGGGTCCGGTGACCCTTCCCCAGAACTTCTGAATTTGCCTTTTTGCCAAGGGCGTGTTTATGGGATGTTACTATATTGAACAGTTACTGTTTAGTCGTAACATAATCTATTATTCTGTTAAGTTATCCAATACAGTTCATTTATTCCAGTTTCCTCTTTCTTTGTTTTTTTTTAAACTACAGTGCTTGAATAAATTGTGTTTTGCTTAACTTTTAGAAGTTTGACGAACTGAATTGTATCTGGAACACAGCACTTCACATTTACCTTTGAAATAAGAAAAGATTAGGGTCTAGGCTACCTTCTTAATATATTTTTGACGGGGGTGGTCTGGTCTGGTGCATAACATCTGGTCACTGCTGGAAGTATCCTCGTCAGTGGTAAGCATTGCAGTATTGATTCACTTGAGATTCATGCACAAGTATTGGTCTGCTAGATGGCTCCTTTGTCAAGGTGTCTTGCCTCTGTGGCCAATTTATTTTCAGACTTTAAAACGGAGAACAGAATTTGCGAGGACGAAAGGAAGGGTATCCTTGAACAATTATTCCAAAGCCGAGTAGTCACATCATTCTCTGAATTTGCAACTTACATTGCCTGGCAATCGCAAATCAATCAATTAACAGAAAGCTGAGCTGCTGTGACATTTTTGGTTCTGTTGGCCACTAGGGTTTGTTTTTTCAGACAAAACCTCTTTTCCAAGTCAGTGCTCACAGGGCAGATGGATCGAATACATGACGCAGCTCTGTCACTATGCCAACAGCCTTGCAGTGTGTACACTGAGTGCAGAAATTACAACCTCAGCCAGAATATGTCAGCGAGCATCATCTGCCCAACAGCAGGTCATGGCTTCCTCCTGCAACAGATGGGTTGACAACGGTGATTAAATGTGCCTCTGGAGGTGTAACGAGGTGACCTCCAACTCCAACCATCCAGTTCTCCTCCACGTTCCTGCCTATCACCCGACACATCCAGCCTCATTACTTCCCTCCTTTCCACAGCCAAACGAAAACTCAACTCAACCGTATTTTACGGTCAGCATCAAAACAAGGGAACTCGCTGTGGAGTTCCTAACAAAGTTGCCTACAAAAGTCCAGTAGCATCTGTGAGTTGCCTTGTCTTCTGTGGCAGTTTAAATCTGTAACTATATGAGGAGATGTCTTTGTACATAACAGCAATGATACCAGTAAGGAGGCAGATCACCTAAGGGTGACACGGTGGCTCCGTGGTTAGCATTGCTGCCTCACAGCGCCAGGGACCTGGGTTCAATTCCAGCTGTGGGCAACTGTCTGTGTGGTGTTTGCATGTTCTCCCCATGTCTGTGTGGGTTTCTTCAAGGTGCTCTCAGTCCAAAGATGTGCAGGTTAGGTGGATTGGCCATGCAAAATTGCCCATAGTATCAGGGGATGGATAGGCTAGGTGGGTTAGCCATGGGAAATACAGGGTTATGGGGTGGGTCTGGGTGAGATGCTCTTCAGAGAGAAGGTGCGGACTCAATGGAGCGAATGGCCTGCTTACACACTGTGGAGATTGTATGATTCCAGCCAATCAAAATATTCAAAAATAGCAAACCATGAGGTTTGAAATGTTTAAAAACTTGCAAATTAATTAAAGTTTTCAGATAGTAAAATAACTATATCACCACATTGAGAGAAGCTAAAATAAAGATAAACAGCATTTTAAAATTAAAACTATTTTTGTCATTGGAAATTTAACATTTTGGTTTATTTAACATGCCACAAATGTAAAATGCCTTTTCAGGGCCAGTGAGGGTGACTGCAAGTAATTGTGAATTTAGTGATCCATTTTACAACAGTTACACGTCACTTAACAAGATGCAATGCAATAAGACTAACAGCATTAAAAGGAAATTCTGATTAATTCAATGAATGTAACAGAGATTAAAGCAGCGCATCCTGTGAAGAAACCTGCAAACAATACTGCATCTTCTGCATTTCCACAGTATTTCATAGGCCGTTGGAGTAGACACGTTTCAGGGAGTTACAACAGTGAATACTGAAAGTTTCGCTGCCATTGCCATAGCAACATTAAACAACTGACCTACTGTTACGTCTGACTTACTCCCAATTTGTTTACTGATCTAAAAACCCCCAAATATTTCTTTTGCCCGTTGCATAAATTTCATTCTCACAAATATCTTCCTTTAAAAACACAAATTCTAATGGCCCCGTGATGGGGTGGGGGGTGGTTTGCCTGCAGCCGTGACCCCAAGATTAAACATTAATTCCTGACAATGCTTGGGCACTCTATACAATTGGCAACTCAAAACAACAAATTAATGATCACTTATAATGCATCAACTGCTGAATGTATTCTAATAACGAATAAACCCCTTCAGTTGTGGCTTTTCTATTCATTGATTCATAATTTGTCCCTTATTGATATCCTATTGCACTATCAAAATTCAACTGAACACAGCATTTAATACATGTAGAAATTAAACCCATAGCTGCTGTCATGTTTTCCAGATCCACCACTGCTGTATCCCCTTTGGGTAATCTGCTGCCTCCACGTCTCCTTGCTCTGTCCTGAGCCTGCGGTCTGTCTACTTATCAAACAAACAAAGAACTGCAGATGCTGGAAATCTGAAACTATAGCGGACGACGCTGGAGAAACTCAGCAGGTCTGTGGAGAAGAAACAGAATCAGAGTCAGTGTTTCAAGTTCAGTGACTCTTCTTTCAGAAGGGTCTTTCAGAACAGAACCCTGCTGAAGAAAGGTCACTGGACTCGAAACTTAACTCTGCTTGCTCTCCATAGACGTTGCTAAACCTGTTGCGTTCCTCCAGCTATTTCAGTTTTTTTTCCTGTCTATTTATCTGTGGCAGAGCATAGACCGCCGGTGAGACTAAACAGAAGAGATACATGCCTTAAAATGACGAGGTAGCATATCAGACCATAGCGACGGAAACAGTTTAACTCACTCGGAAAGCTAAGGACTCTCAGGAGCCTTACAGAATATGTCTGCTTCTCCTCAGTTCTCACACAGGAGCCAAATGCCTCCAGCCAATGGACCATGTGCCATCAGATTGGATGGAGCTTAAAGCCACATCACTATTAACCCCTCCGAACCATACTAACAAGAGAGTGTAGTGTTTCTTGCGATGTAAACATAAATAAGGCGTATTACTTACAGAAAACAGTGCTTCCTGCTCACTCTTCCTCCTTTATCTTGAAGATTTCCTGAAAGACAAGAAAAGACAAATCTTTGAATACAGAATTGAGAATGGATCTTTTTTTTTAAATTCTCTTTGTGTTTGCCTCAGAAATGAATTCAGTCTCCACAATACCATACCCCTTAGAAAAATAGACCTGTTTGGCACAATTCTCTAAAGAGATAGTGTTGAATATCGAGCCCGCTGCGTGGTAGCCTTCCTGTCAAGTGAGCTGGAATTTATTTTCCCCCAGCACATTCCAAGCCCACCAACATGACCTTCAACCAGAACATGCGTTAGCCCAAGGCTGGGCAGTTCCTTTACGTCCACACCATACAATTAGCAACATGATGCCCATCAGCAAGGGTTAACAGTAACTGAGTTCTGAGGAAGGGTCACCTTTGGTTTTTCCTTCACAGATGCTGCCAGATCTGCTGAGCTTTTCCAGTAACTTTGTCTTTGTAACAGTAATTGTGTTTCATTCTTAATTCATTCACGGGATGTGGGCCTCGCTGGCTGGGACAGCAATTATTGTTTATCTCTAATTACTCCTGAGAAGGTGGTGGTGTTCTGTCTTCTTAAATAGCTATAGTCCCTTAGGTTTTTCTTCCTGTCTATTTATCTGTGGTAGACCATAGAACTCCGGTGAGACTAAACAGAAGAGACACATGCCTTAAAATGACAATGTTAACTGGAGAGGAAGTTTCCATTTTAGTCCCAGCAACGCTGGGGAGGTGGGGTCTGGGTGGGATGCTCTTCAGAGGGCTGGTGTGGACTCGATGGGCCAAATAGCCTATTTCCACACAGTAGGGATCCTATGATTCCAAGACAGAGTATAGACACAAAGGGTCTCTATTTTTGTTCTAGGAAACCACTCTATGACTCTACACTACAAATCTCAAGGTACAATAGTAAAAATTCATGTCGCTATGGTATTCTTTTCAAAAGCTGCCTCATGAGTAGCCTGCTGATTTTATTATAAAACTGCACAGAAATATTATTATAAAATTATTAAACAGCTTTTGTTTTATGCACTACTTCTAAAATCAGAAAAACCCACTTGTGTGCTTCTGAAATAGAATACACTTCAATTTTCAATGAAATGGGGTGAATAACAGTTCACATTTCATTGAATATTTACGTTGCGCTGAAAATGAATTATATCCCCCAAAAGATGACTCTTTCTCAAAAGCAGTCCCCAAAAAACAGAGTTATCAGATAGATAGGTACAATATTGTTTCTTGCCTTTGTTTGTAGGGCTGGTCCTGTTCAGTTTTTGGCCAATGGTAACCCTAAGGATGTTGACAGAGAGGAATGCATCATTGAATGTCAAAGGGTGATGGTTAGATTTTAGCTTGTTGGGGCTTGCTGGGCACTTCTACAGCATGAACATCAGTTGCCAAACGTCAGCATAGGCCCAAACGTAGTCCAGGTCTTGCTGCACAGGAACATGAAGCTCTTCAGTACCTGAGGAGTCACAAGTGGCACTGAACATTGTGCAATCATCGAGAAATATTCACACTTGACTTTATGGTTCATCAATGAAGCAGTTAGAGATGGTTGGGCCTAGGTCACTACCCTGAGGAATACCTGCAGAGATGTCCTGGAGCTGAGGTGACTGACCTCCAGCAACCACAGCGTTCTTCTGTGCATAGGCATCACACAGGGCAAACACGGCCACAACAGAACCAATGGCCTGCTTCTGGGATATCAACGTACGTGAATCCAGCGGATAAAGTTAAATAAAGGTTACCTAAACTATTCATTGTGAAGAACTAGTAAAGCACAGCAGATGGCTGAACCTTAGCCATTTAGGCCTCTGCATAAACCAAACCCATCAACATGAAAACATGAGTGTAAACCATCTGTGAGGAGCCGTGCTGACACATGCAAAGCTAACAGCTCATATTATAAATTACTTTCTAAACGATGTGCTGAAATACACCCTGGTTGCGAATAAAATCTTTGCACAGAAGGCCACTCAGGCCAAACTGCCTCAGCTGGGCTTTTTTTTTTGAGATTCTACACAAAACGTTCCACTTCTGCGTTCTTTCGCCAATGATCCAAAAGTTTCTCCCCGACACAGAATGTATGCAATAATGAATCCGCTTTCACCACCTCTTTCTGTCAATGAGTTCAAGATCATGTATTGATGTCTTGCCATGACCCATTAATTCCCATCGAGGGACAGACTAAGTAGAAGGAATTGAATGTTTTGAAGTCGATAGATTTTTTTTAGAAGAAACAGCAAGCTGCATCCTTTGAGTTGCTTTGTCCATTTGGTGTAGGTACTGGTGTAGGTAACAGCAAGGGAGGAAGTAGTAGGATTTTGGCCCAGTAAAACTGAAGTCAAAGCAGCTCGGAATGGAACTTGTGGGAGGGGTGTTCCAATACACCTGCTGCCCTTCTCCTTCTAGTTAGCAGTGGTCGTGGGTTTGGGAAGGTACTGTCTGGTGAATTCCTGCAGTGTATCTTGCAGATGCTACACACAAAAAGGCACATCTGGTTATCGGAGTGGAGGGGAACGTAGAATTCAAAATATAAACAGATCAGCCTTTGTCTTACCCAATGGTGGAAGAACTTCAGGGTCAAATGGGCTGCTTCTGCTCCTAATTTTATATGTTTGTATTCTTAAACACAGTACAGCAGCAATGCAGAATGTACAGTACAATTCACAATGGAGTGAAGTAAATTGCTGAGCCTAAGAAAGCAGAAGTTCACCCAGTTGAAATATTTGAGAGCAATAAAGCTAATGAGCGACACAGGAATATAAATATCAGTCCTTTTCCAGCAAACACTTGATACACACACTGCAACAAAGACTAGTATTTGCACAATGTTCGCAGTACAGCTCCCAAATTGTTCCACATACAGTGTATTGTAGTAACCTTCATTTAACCAGCACTGTCTACTTCGCTCAGCTGGCTGGCAACACTTTGAAGCAAACACAGACATTGGCAGAGAAAGATGGATTGCAAAGCCCCACAGAACTCTTCTGTTGCAGACAATACAAATCACAGCAAAGGCAAAACAGAACTTCGAATGTGAAGACTGAATGTAGTGTGAATGGACCCAATGAGCTGCAACTAACCTTAACATTGATGGTTCAAGTTATATAAAAAAAATACAGCTACAATTGACTTCATACAACAATTGCAATACAGGAGTGGACCATTCAGTTGCTTACACCCTTCCCAGAGCCTTGCAAGAACAACTCAATTCACCCCACTCTCCTGTCTTGTCTTTCCCTGCAGCACTGCATATTTTTCTTTTCAGATAATGACCCAATTCCCTCTTAAACGCCTCAATTGCACCTGTCTCCAGCACAAACTCTCGGGTATTGCAGCCCTAACCACCTACTGCATGATCAGTTTGCTTCCCCCGTTGTCTCTGGTTTTGTTGCCAATTGCTTTAAATCAGTCACCCTTGGCTCTTAAACCTTTCCACAATGCTGCAGATTTGGTTTTAACAATAAAGCAGAAGTTTAGTAAACAAAAGAAACAAAAAAGTACAATAAACCAAACCCAGCTAGTTAAACGTATCAGAGCTTGAAAGGTTGCACAATACGTGGCAAAACAAGTTCCCATCTATTCCCAACGACTGAAAACCCAGGGAATTTTTCCTCCCTATGCACTCTGTTGGTTTGCTTGAAACTATGAAGAAGCAATTAAGTTATGGGAGTTGTGAAGTCTTTTTTTCTGAAACAACTGAGAGTTTAATCTGCAGAGTTTGAACCAAATACTCCTGGTCTGGAGGGTTCACAAACTTCACTCTTTCACGGAGGTAACTTACTTCTTCAAATATTCCAAACAATCTCCTTTTCTAAGAAACACTGTAGTTGCATCTGGTTTCAGTCAGGTCTCCTTTGAACTGAACTCAAAAGCTTTTAAACTTTTTTTTTTAAAAAACATGCATACCCTAGATTTTTCTGAAGCTAACAGCTCAATGTCTTCCCTCTAATGTTGAAAACCTGACAGTATAAACAAACTTCCATTAACACTCCAGGAGGCCTTGCCATCATCAATTGTCTGACACATACTGGTTCTGTAAAGACAGACCTATTAATTTTTAAACTTCACAAAAATAGACCAACACTCACTAGTTTAAAATGCAAACTTCTTAAAAATATTACCATACAAATCACATACCATTCATTACACTTCAATTTCACTGCAGGCTGAATAAAAGGTAAATTCTCATTTATTGGCAATCTCACGACTACCATTAAATTCAAGCTTCATATAATTCAGACAAAGTAAAGCGTGATGATATCTGAATAGCAAATGAGAATCTCCCTTGGAGAATCAAACATCTTCTTTTCAAAACTGGACCTGAATTCAGTCTGTGAAGGTCTGTGAAACAGAACAATTTTGTATTTCACTCATCATGTCACCAAGCTCTTTTCCCATACATCTTCCCACAATACTAATCTTGATGCTGAACAGGATCCCCATTTGGTACTATTGTATGGTGGTGTCAGGTGTGGCACAACTTAAGTAAAATGTCTGAATTTAATAATGGCATTAACAATGCAGAGTGGGTGTAAAATTGACAAAGGAATATTCTACATAGCTGAGTGTGAGGTGATATATTTCAGTAGACAGAACAAACAGGCCACAGACCGCATATAATAAGTAACTAGATGGAATCACCCCCCCGACTCCCCAAAACCTGTTCACCATCTACAAGGCACAGGTCAGGAGTGTGATGGAATAATCCCCACTTGCCTGGACGAGTGCAGCCCCAACAACACTCAAGAAGCTTGACACCATCCAGGGCAACGCAGCCCGCTTGATTGGCACCACATCCACAAGCATCCACTCCCTCCACCCCCGACGCTCAGTAGCAGCACTGTGCACTATCTACAAGATGCACTATCTACAAGATCCTAAACAGCACCTTTCAAACCCATGACAATCTAAATGGATGTACAGTAACATGACTCCCTGCAAGTTTGCTTTCAATCCACACACCATCCTGACTCAGAAATATATTGCCATTCCTTCAGTGTTGCTGGGTCAAAATCCT